TGGTGATCGGGAACAATTTCTTTCCTGGGAGAGCGGTCAGGCGTTGGCCCAGGCTGCCCAGGGCAGGGGGGGAGTCCCCATCCCTGGGGGGGTTCAAACACCGTGGGGATGTGGCCCTGCGGGACGTGGTTGAGCAGGTGTGGGGGGTTGGGGTGACGGCTGGACTTGGTGATCTTGGAGGTCTCTTCCAGCCCTAACGATTCTGTGATTCTCAAACCAAATCCTGCTCCCTAGGAAAAGCAGGGGAGGAAACCAGGCGAGACCTGGCCTGAGTAACAGAAAAGGCATTGAGATAGCTATTTTTATACAGTGCTTCTTTTAAACTAGAGGAGCTTCGTCTTGACCTAACAATAGATCGAGGTTATACTTGCTAAAAATAATCTTACTTTTCCATGAACAGCTATCCTCAGAATGTCCCATCTTCACGTCTTCTAAAACTGGTGGGAGCTCGTCTACGGCGTGGGGGGTGTCGGGGCTGTTTGCGTCAGGCAGTTGGAGGGGCCGTGGCTCTGGGCCGCGTTAGCTCCTGCTTTTGCTGGAGGCTGGTGACGGAGGTCGGGGTGATCTGCAGAGCACTCTGTGTGCCCGTCTCTGGCCTGCGTAGGGTTAAAGGCTTTGTCTCCCAGTTTGGGTGTTATGTGATGGAACAGCAGCATTTTCTCTGTTCTGTACCTTGGGTGGCGAATTCAGCGTTGATTCTGTGCTGTGGGAAAGTGCTGAGTGAGGAGCACCAGGAAGGAAGGAGCAGCTGTAGATCCTGAGTTTGTTAAAAGTGATCACTTAACCCCGCTCGGGGGAAAAGCGAGGATGACTTCTGGAACTGGTGGCTGGCTGAAGGAGTTCCCGTGGAGGCTGTGGTGACGGGGCTGTATCACTGGCGAGGCAGCTGCCAGCCCCCTGTGAGGGTCCTGTTTATATACAGACCCCTGAAAAGCATCTGGGAACTTTGTCTGGATTATCTTCCCTGTGAAAGGGAGGAAAGCTCTGGGTTCCAGCACCATAAAGACGCTGCCGGGCTGAGTTAAGCGAGTGGCCTGGTTAGTGCGGCGTCCTCTGTTTAAATCGCAGTCGGTGTTGCATGCCTAGCAGAAGGTGCTGGGGTTACAGCAGCAAATAGCTGTGCAGCTTCCTCAGCCTTGGGGAAGCTTCCCTTGCTTATTCCTGATTGTCCATCTTGGGTTTTGAGGCACGTGGATCGACTGGCTTCAGATTTACCTGCTGATGTAAGGCAGAAGATCCTTTTTTGCGTGTCTGGTACCATTTTTTCCCATTTCCAACCCTGGGAGGGTTCAGAGTAAGCAACACCCGTAGCTTACGAAGCCCCAGCGGTGCACTGTGATAAGGTGTTGTCTGGTGTTGACCGGGGGCTTATCTAATTACACTGCAAGGCAGTGAGGAAGAGCAGGTCTCTGCGCCCGCCTTCCGTCCCTTGCTGCTCCCCAAAAGCCAGCCCTCCCCATCCTCTCTCCTTCTAGCCTCTAATTTCTCATCTTGGAACTCCCCTCCCCGACACAAAGGTCGGTAGGGCAGGGAGGGCCCTCTGCCCCAGGCAGTGGGTGCTCTCTCTGTGTTGCCCGCTGGCCATCGGGCCGTGCTGGGCTGCTGCTCTAAAAATAAGGGGCTCTGCTGGCGGGGCCGTCGCGCCGTGCTCCCTTACGCCGCGCTTGGTGCCGAGTTTCACATACTGCAGCTAGGCCAATACCGCCGAGGTCTTGGGGGAGTTGCTCCTCCCCAGCCTCGTCGGGCCTAAACGTTTTTTGGCAAGAAATTAACAGCTACATTGAGAAAAAGACGCTGAGCACATCTGTGATGGAATCGTGTCAGAATTCTACAGCTAATTTGGATTAGAGCGAGGTGTGAAGTTATTCCAAAATACCTATTGCACTTGGTGTTGGATCAGTCTTATTCTGGGATAGGAATGCTTGTTCCAATTTAGCTTAATCCTTTTTCAAAGCTAACTAATCTAAACCAGGCCAAGGCACTCTTCTGGAACGTGCTGCAGTGTCGTTACTCAAAAGAAACCCGATGTGCGGAGAAACTCGTCGTCCGTTCCTCTCTGTGGCTGCGGCTCCGCTGCTCTGCACAGAACCCGTACGGGGCCGTGGCTGCGTCGCGCAGCTGGGTCAGCGAGGGGGCAGACCTAGAAAGGAATTAAGGCATTAATTAGTTAGGCAGTCCCTTTGATAAGAGGAATTTGGGCTGTTTTGGGGAGGGAGAGGACCGGATCCTCCTCCTCTCCTGCAGCAGCGTGAGCGGCTCTGATCCTGCAGATGGGGGTGAGGGCTCCCCTGGCTCGCTGCGAAGCTCTGCGATCGCTGGTGTCGACACAGAAGGTGATGGATATGGGGGAGAGCAGGGTTATGCTCCAGCTACAGCATGGATTTACGTAGGATTACAGTGTGCTTGTAACCACAGCCTGGTGAATGCATGCAGTGCCTGCTAGTTAGGTAAGATCCCTATTAATGAGAAGAAATTTCTTCTGGTGGCAGAGTGCCACAGTGGAGAGAAAGAATTTTGCCTCCTGTCTGTAAATCAGAGATTGAGATCACGGTGCTTCTGCTGTCAAAATTGTGATCAGGTGGGAGCGGGCAGCAGGCTGCGGGCCATGCCCGATGGCAGAGGCATCGCAGCGGGCGTATCGGCGATAAATCACCGTGACGTGCCCAACTGACGGGAGCTCAGTCCCGAGGTCCATCGACGGGCGGAGGAGCGAGATGCCTTTCAGTGAGCTGGTGCTTCGCAGCGTAGCCTGTTCTGCGCCGGACTCGGAGGGGTCCGTGGGGCTTTGGGAGGTGGATGCCCTGAGTTTGTCTGGCTGGAATGGACCCGCTGGCCTTCAGTCCCGATAACTTTTACCTGCCCACGGGCTCTTCCAAGAAACTTGGAGTATGAAACTGTGGCATCAGTGCACTCTCTTTCTTTTTGTCAATGACTGTTTGCTTCTGTTGGGGAGGGAGAGAGAGAGAGAGAAGGGGCTCAGTGGTGAGGTCGGTGATGAGGGTGCTGACACTGTGAAAGAATCTGGGCTTTACACAGCAAAAAGCTGGGAACGGCAGCAGCACGGCAGTGGGCACGAAAGAATGTGGGCTTTACACAGCAAAAAGCTGGGAAGAGCAGCAGCACGGCAGTGGGCACCAGTAGCTGTGAAACACGATGCCCGGTGCCCCGACTCGGTGGCCTGGCTGGGGAGGGTGAGGGGAGAATGCAGATGACGCATTTGATTTTTAAAAAAGTGGGCAGTGTTGACAGAAACTCTATCTTGATTAAGGGCGGTAGGAAAGCATTCGATTCCAGCCGTGTCTTGAGCTCGGTTACAGTTGGTTTTGGCTCGGGTTCTTCTGTTTGCCTTCTTTGGGTCTCGCCCTGCCATCTTAGCAGTCGTGGAGCTGATGCTGCTCTGCTGACATTCTTCACCTTAACTCTTGCAGTTCTGTGCTGGGGAGCTTGGAGGCTTCTGGGTGCAGCCGCCTTCGGGAGGGGGGGCTGATCACAGAATCACAGAATAGTAGGGGGTGGAAGGGACATC